CCCCTCCTAGAACAAAACCCCCCAATTCCGCCTTCCAGGCTTACTCTCCTTCATTTAATCTCCCCATCTAGGACAAATTCCCCCAAATCCCTCCTCTAGCTAAATCCCCTCCAAATTATCCTTCCCAGCATGAAATCCACCTTATCCAAATCCCCCCAAAAGCCCATCCCAGCACCTCCTTAAATCTGGCCATGGCGTAAAGTAAGGAAACCAGCGGCCGTGGCTGCGCCCCTAGGTGGCAGTGTACTTTCGGTGGCTGCCTGGTTTGCCTAGTGGTAACACCGGCCATGCCCACATGTGACACTGAGTATCCTTAAATGAAAGAACTAAAATCCAGTTAATGAATGGAGCAGGGCAGAGGCAGACAGGATGAGGGGGAAAGGGGTAGATTGTAAGTGGGGCTTTGCTATTGTCTAGTACTGGCACCAAGAGCACAAGTCACTACCCCCACTCCTGTCCAGCTAGATTACTGCCCCGCCTGCTGTGGCAGAACCCTCCACCATAGTGTGCCTTTATCCATGCCAGCGGCCTCCACACAACATTCACTGCTATTGACTTTTATATCCCTAGGAAGGAATGTCCACACACATAAGTAGAATTACTGCATTTTACTGATGGAATTCAGGGAATGGCATAATGGTCACATCACATCGACATACATCCCGGAGTCACTTGACATTACATAGTCAATCACATTTAGTAGATGGTCTGCAGTAGTCACATGTGAAAGCATATGCAGCACTTTTAGAAGCCATCTCCCGCTAACAGTTTATCCTTCATCCATGGTCATTAGTACTCACAGTACTGGGATCTCTGTAGTCACCCCCTCCTTAGGTACATCTCTCCTGGGATCCTCCAAGAAGCAGCCTCACCCAGGGAGCTCTTGGCCTGGCCTAAAAGGCCTTTTGCAATTTGCCCTAGCCCCCTCCTCCATAACAGTTAGAAAGGCTACAGCCAGCTCTTCCTGGGTGCAAGTCATCCCCTGCCTCCTGCCCTATCCGTGCTGGTCACATCCGTACTGAAATGGGGTGTTTAGCTCCCATGCTCCAAGTGCTGCAAGGATTCCTTCCAACCTGGGGCCTAGTAGCAATCTCACCCCCTGTAGTCTAGCCCAGATGTCCCTTTCCCATCCTCCTCTTTGCTGCTAAGGTTGTGGCCAAACTGAGGACTTTTACACATTCTTGGGTCCTGCAAATGTGTAGTCAGCTTCTGGAGGAAAATCTTTCAAATGATATTTGAAGTGATGGAAGTTTTACTATCATCTAACCCAGCTCTGAATATCCTGAACCTGGATATCAATAAGGTACCTAGGCCATTCTGTACAGTAGTTACGCGCATACTTCTTGCAGCCAGACTAATGATCGCCAGACAATGGAAATCCTGAACTGCACCCAATCCGCCAGAAGCTATTGCACTGTTTAACGTTCATTACTCCTATGAATGTATGCTTGAACTATGGAATGGTCATGCGTCCGGCTTTGACTTGTTATGGTCCACTGTAATCAATAAGGGAGACTCCACTCCAATCCAGCTGATCGACCACACACTGGCAGATGCAAATCTTATATACAATCTGGTGCACTGACTAGGGTTGAGGACCAGCTTAGTAATTACACACCCTTCTAGGATCCCTCCAGCTACCCTACAGCTTGAACCCCGGTGTTAATCAACCTTCCACTGTCCACCCCCCCCCCCCGCACCAGACACACCACAAAAGGTAGCCTGCCACCACCCAACAGTTTATCCGCAGAGCGGTCTGCTGGGACACCCCACACACACAGATCTCCGTCTGGTCGATCTGTTACTTTTTACAATCTGCACGCAATCTGCCTACACACAGTGCAATTGCATACAGATTGGCAATGAGCTTGACCGAGCGTTTAAAGGCACTAAAATACGATACAATCTAATCCAATCTAATCTCTCCAATCTAATCTCTCCGGAGATATAAGCATGTGCTTAAATACACAGAAGTCACTAATTCATTTTAAGCTTTAATTTCCCGAAAGTGGGCAGTGCATAAAATATGTACAAAATATAAAAAGTTACAGAAATACAAAAAATACAAGAAGACGCACAAATGACTATTCACTATAAAATAAAAAGGGAATAAAACAGAATAAAACTTTTACCAAGATCTATCTTGCGACTGGAGCAAGTCAGAGCGTCAGCAATCCGTCAGTCAAATCGAACAATGGCTCCACACGAATCACAAAAGTCCCAATGCCCGGATACTCTATTTATGGGGATATGGACGTAGGCGAGACATTAGTCCTCGGCCAATTGACCATGGGGGCTGCCCCTGTACCTGCCCACAGGATGTTCTGGGTGCTGACCTGCCCAAGTTCAATCGGACTAAGATCGGCTTGAAACACCAAGTTGGGGATTGGATTTCTGACACCAGCGCATCAGCCTGAATGCGACAGCACCAAACACCATTCGACCGTCGCAATCCAGCGCCACCTAACACTTTGCTGCATTTTCCTGGCCTTCTACCTAAGCCACAAAAATGATTTTTAGGTGCCAGTGTGACGCACAGAATGCCCAAACAGAAGGGAGTATGTTGATCTCTCTGCAACTAATATTTTAGTTTTTATGAGAGATGAAACATACTTCTTTGATGTATGTATATTCTTTTTAGAGCTTCCAATGTCAGGCAGACAACCGGTCTGCAGTCATTTCCTCCAAACCGGTTTTCCCATAAGGTGACAACCTCATTAGCACTGTAGGTGTCACATCCAGAGGAAGCTGGCTTTTCTGACGCTGATTGATGCCTCTGTGTCTGAGTACCTCTGACTGAATATACATCTTTAATGACAATGGAATGTCACTACAGTTATGATTACATATTGCTACTTATCACATCTTATCTACTCAAATCTGTACATTTATGTCACATGTACATTACAGTAACACTTTAACCACTTCCTGTCCAGCCCATGTACATAAACGGCCGGACAGGAGTAGTGCAGGAACGGGTGGCCGTTTATAAACATCCTCAGCATTCACTGCCTGTGTGTGCTCCCTGTGAGCATGCGGCACCATGATCCGGTGCCCGCTGTGTCCTTCGGACACAGCAGAACACCAATCGCTGTACGGGACCTCTGTGTGAGGTTCCGATTCATGTGATCACTGATTGGCCAATCAGTGATCACAAGAATAGTACTAAGCAAGATGTCACTTCCTGACATCATTGCTTACTACGTGTTAAATCACAGAGGTCACATGGTACAAGGCTATTCACAACAGCCTTGTACCATGTGACAAGCTGTGACCAATCACAGCTCTCACAGTATTTCTCAAAGCTGCAAGAATGCAGCTGGAGAGAAGGAGAAATTATTGCTTTTACAGCCTTTCTGGGTGTGAAAGCAATCAGTGTAAAAAAAGAAAAAAAAATCTTCATCACCCCCCCCCCACAAATAGTACAGTGTACTGCTAGGGTGACAGTATGTTAAAAAAAAAAAACATAAATAATAATATAAAAAAATAAAATTAAAATGTAAAACTTTTTTTTTTAAATTATAATATTTGGTTATAAACTAATTTGGGTTATTGTTTTTTTTACTAAAGAGATAGATGAATACATTTTGGCCAAGATTTATGAAGAAAGATTATTTATTTGCAAAATTTTATAAGAAAAACACTTTTTTTTTTCAAAATATTTGGACTTTTAAATTTATATAGCAAAATAATAAAAATCCCAGTGGTGAATAAATACTGTCTCAACAAAAATGCTAAAAAATTCATATGGGTACAGTGTTGAATGACCGCGCAATTGTCAAAGTGGGATAGGAAGGGGGTGAAAGTGTCCAGACTTGAAGTGGTTAACATGGCTGCAGACAGGAAATATATATCTCAGCCCAGAATTCCTTGGGGTTTCCTTACATCTGGTAGTTGTAGTCCAGATAATGGAACACAGTATATCTAGGCTGTAAGACTACAAGTCCCAAGATCCTCCACTTTTAGACACACTTCCCGCTCTCTCAGCAGGAAATGACATGATTACTCTGCACTGAACACTAGAGGGAAATAAAAGGAGTCTCAGTCTGTGCAGCAAATGTCTTTGAATTGCAGAATGACATAGCCTGACCCAGCTACATTTGTTTTCTTCTGTGCCCACCATTGGCAGTCTCTTTGTACTTCTCTTTACATGAATAAAAATCTATTGGCATAAAAGGGGTCTAGCACCTGATGACACTGCTGTAACCAGACACTATTCTGGTGCAGAGCCACCTAGTGGCAAAGTAGCTAACTGCATCTGCCTACAAAATGATGCTGGACATCCTCCAGCCAAGAAATCAGGCAGGCTTTTTCTGACTTGTTGCAGCTTCTAATGTACACTTTGAGAAGCTCAAAGTGTGCAGTCAAACCAGAGTAAGCTTTTTCAGTAAAACAAATGGAGTCTATACAAGTGTACAAAGGAAGGCTGGAGCTCAGCTTTAATTTAAATCCCAAAGGTGTTTGCTGTTCTCCCTGCATCAGGGGGGTTAACAAACTACCATAATGCATGGACCATGTTGGCACACGCAACATTATAAGGTTGTCAGGAACTGAGATGCTGATACGTCTCCCTCCTGTTGCAAGGAAAGCAGTTGTAAATGTGTTATAATGATAGAAATGCCAAAATAATTTCCTTTTTAAATAAAAATGTCTTCCGCCTGGTGATTTCAGCTGATCTGATCTTTAACTACCTTTCCTCCTTTGATCAGGCTTCAGTTATCCTTTACAGAATAAAAAACTGAGCTAGAAACAGAACTTTTTCTAAAGTCTCTAATGGTGGAGCCGCTTAGATCTCTAAATATAACTATTAGCTATTTTGTCTCCTGCTCTAAAGCTGGGAGGAAGAGCTGCCAAAAGGTAGATTTTTATCATCTCCTGAAACAAATGCCAAGAATCATTTTCTGCTTGCCCTGGTACATAAAACTTTTTGTGGGGGGGCTTATGAATATGGCCCTCCCCAAACAGGATATTGAGCTAAACCTGTAGGTAAACGAGATTTCTAGAATCTTTGTTAAAGCGGGGTTCCACCCAAAAGAGGAAGTTCTGCTTTAAAGATTGGTCCCCCCGCTCCCCATTAAGGATTGGCACCTTTGGGGAGCGGGTACCCGAAATTGACAGGTACCCGCTCCCACTTCCGCTGCGATCGCCTAATTGATCGAAAGCGGAAGTTGTCCTTCTACCCTCCCTCCCCATAGTCTTGTGGGACACGTGACAGGTCCCCCGCTCCCCCCCATTAAGGGTTGGCACCTTTGGGGAATGGGGGGGAGAGGGTATCCGAAATTGACAGGTACCCGCTCCCGCTTCCGCTGCGATCACCTAGGTGATCGGAAGCAGAAGTTGTCCTCCTCCCCTCCCTCCTTGTAGTCTTGTGGGACACGTGACAGGTCCCAGAAGACTACGGGGCCATTCAGGAACCGCCGCGCTACTCGCACATGCACAGTGGGCACCTGGCTGTGAAGCCGCAAGCTGTCACAGCCAGGTGCCCACACTGAAGACCAGAACTGTTGGTGAAAAGGGCTGCGGCGAGGGCACCGTGGGACCGAGGGACAGGTAAGTGGCTGTTTTTTTAAAAGACAGCAGCTACAGTTTTTGTAGCCGTTGACTGTTATTTTTTTACAGAGTGAGTGGAACTCCGCTTTAAGTGGAAATTTGATTGATAATAAAGTTAGCAGTGCCTCCACTCAGGACAGGGCCGCTGTGAAAAGAGGGGTTTCCCTTCCTGGGGAATTTAGGCGGTATTATTATTATTATACAGTATTTATAAAGCGCCAATAGTTTCGCTCAGCGCTGTACATTACAATGGGGGACAGAACATGTGACAGAACAATAACAATACAATGCAAAACATGAGGGGATCGAGGGCCCTGCTCTTTTGAGCTTACAATCTAGGTATTAAACCCAAAAGCAAACATTTATTATATTGCAGCTTACCAATTCTTAGATGTGATGGCTGCATTAGTTTTAGTCTTTTCTTCTATTTTTAACTGGTGGCCAGTAAGTCTATTGTTTTTCAAAAGAACAAGCTCTCTTCCAGCTGTATCAGTTTACAAGGATGAGACAAACCATTTAACATTGACAGGGATGCTTACAACGATCAGCTTGTATTTATTCGTGTAAATCCGAAAAGGAAAAAAAACTGTTTGCTGTAACTGATTATAAAGTGTGAGCTGGAGTTTGGCTTCCATTTGTTAGTGTATTTAAATCAGCTAGTACATTTAACACTCCCCCTAGGTTGATAATGCTGCTGACTGCTGTTCCCCCTTTGCTCCTTCATCCAGAGTGTAGGTACTCTAATACAGGAGGTGTGTTACTGATTAAATCACCAGAAGAAACATACATGACGTGTCACAGGAGATTGCGGGTGGAGATGGGGGAGGGGAACTTCCAAAGAAATCACCTAGGGGATTCCAGTGTAAGTGAGAGCAGGTACCTGTCAAAACTAGGTACCCTCCCCCCTCCCCCCAAAAAAAGTTCCAAAAATGGAAGAGGAGAGGGAGTAGGTCTTCCCTTGAAGTTCCACTTTAACTGAACAGAATTTATTCTCCCTTGAAATGATGTATTTAGGTGGAGAATATCATTACTATGTAAAAATACATACATGGTAAATTATAAATAATAAACTATGTACAGAGATGTTTTCCATTTAAGGGAACACTCTTGAAAGAAAAAACTATAACCTTTAAAAGGCCTTTTTACAGTAAGAGCTGTTAAAAAGCACAGCACTTGTCATCTGCTTTGATACGTGCTTTCTCTCGCCGGAGAGGGAGAAGCCACAACTCACTTGAGTGTGTAAATTTCAGTTTCAGCTATTGAGCTCTGTAGACAACAGCTTTTTTTTCAGCACCAGGTATGGTAAAATTGGAAAAATGTCAAAAGCAATTCAAATAAAAATATTCAAATAACAATTAGTTAACTGCAATATTTTTATTTACTTTGAAAAAGGAGAAAGTTTAGCCCTGTCAAGAATAAAGAAATTATATAAAAATATATAATTTTATGGATGATTTTTGTTGTCCCTTTTTCTATAAGCTCCGAAAAAAGACAGCAAATTGAAAAAAAGAGGGAACAAAAGCTAATTAAATATAACTGATAAAAAATAATGACAGAAACTGCACAAAAGGTGAACTTTGAAGTCTAAAGCTGTCGTTGATCAGAACCGGCACCACCGCTCTCTAATGTGAATTTACTGAGCCTGCTGAAGGAGAAGGCAAGCTTTGCAGATGGGAATCCTATCAATTATGATTAATTGGATGAAGTGGACATGAATTCCCCTCAAGGTTAGGATAAAATCTCAGCTTGGCTTTACAGCAATAAAAGATGATCAACTATGACAACTCAAGATCTATGCAATTAATACAGCCATCAATTTTCCATAGTCAGTTTGCTGTTACTCTTGTCTGTGATTGGCACAGAAGACTGAAGGCCGAGGTGGCATTGCCAATTGTGGGCAAATCGTACATCCATTAATATCACTTTTCATTGGCTGGTCTCCAGCAATGTTCATTTGTTTCTGCTAGTGTGCACAGAAAAAACAGGCAAAGGACTTCATGGAATAATATGTAGCCTGTCACCTATAGTACTGGGCAATTCAAACTAAACAGATGATTAAAAATGAAGGTTGCTTTGAGTAAAATCTGTATGTCCAGAAGATCAGTGGATCCAGAGAAATAGCAGCTGAAGATATATTCAAATCTCTCCTTGTCCTGTAAAACTCTATACTTTAAAGGGACTCATGGCAGCCACTAGCTATCCAAAGAAGTATGGTCCAACCATAGGAATGAATGGGCCAAGCAGCACTCATCTGTAGTATTTGCTGGACATGCCCAGGACTGTTTTTGTGCACAGGCTATGCCAGGTAGGGATGGGCTGAGAAGATTTTGAGAGCAGGGTTGAAGGTAAGTGTTTTGGGATGAGGCTTCCTTTTAGGTGCGAGAGGCAAAGATTTGAAAAACAACTTAATTTAAAGTAGAGTTGCCTTTTAAAGCCTGAAATTCAAATTTTAGCTCCTCGCTCTGCACCCCAGTTTTTATGTTTTCATGCATAGTTGAGTTGCTTAGCCTTGTTTCCACATTCTATGCATGAAAACATAGGAACTGGGGTGCAGACTGATGAGTCAAAATGTGAAATATTTGGCTGTAGTAGGAGGCAGTTTGTACACCGAAGGGCTGAAGAGCGGTACAATAATGAGTATCTGCAGGCAACAGTGAATGGTGGAGGTTCCTTGCAAGTGTGGGGCTGCATTTCTGCAAACAGAGTTGGAGATTTGGTCAGGACTAGTGGTGTCCTCAATGCTGAGAAATACAGACAGATACTTATCCATCATGGCATAACTTCAGGGAGGCATGTGATTGGCCCCAAATTTATTCATCAGCAGGACAACAACCCCAAAGATACAGCCAATGTCATTATTTTCAGTGTAAACAAGAACTAGGAGTTCTAGACGTGATGGTTTGACCCCTACAGAACCCTGATCTCAACATCATGGAGTCTGTCTGGGATTACAAGAACGGACAGAAACATTTGATGCAGCCTACATCCACAGAAGATCTGTGGTCAGTTCTCCAAGATGTTTGGAACATTGACCTACAACCTACCTACCAAGTTCCTTCAAAAACTGTGTGCAAGTGTACTTAGAAGAATTGATGCTGTTTTGAAGGCAAAGGGGGGGGGGGGGGGGGGTGAAGTTTGGTCAATACGAATATTGATTTGATTTGGATTTCTTTTCTGTTCATTTACTTTCTGTTTTGTTAATGGATAAAAATAAACTATGAACATTTTATTCCTGAAAGCATTCTTCATTTACAGCATTTTTTCACATCTTTTGCACAGTATTGTATATAGCACTAGGTTCACATTAAAATTATATTAAAGGCATTTTTTTAAAATAACAAACATGTCATACTTACCTGTTCTATGTATTGGTTTTACACAGAGTAGCCCCAATCCTCCTCTCCTCAGGTTCCCCGTTAGCACTCATGGCACCTCCCTCCTGTCGATTGCCCAAATAGCAAGCATCTTGTTATGAGGGCACCCAAGCAGGCTTGCTCCCGAGCCGCTGAGCTGTGTTTCCATTCACATACAGAGGCTGGTTTAGCCACACCCCTGCTTTCTCCTCATTGGCTCACTGGCTGTGATTGACAGTAGTGGGAGCCAGTAGCTCCTGCTGCTGTCTCAGCCAATGAGCAGGGAGAGCTGCTGCTCTCATACACATTACCAGAAGATAGGGCTCAGGTAAGTATTGGGGGGGGGGTAGGCTGCTGCACACAGAATGCATGAAGGTAAAAAACCTTGAGCCTTTACAACCACTACAGGTAAGGTACAGTCATTAATTACAGGCTGGATTCTGAATCATGTAATCCTCTTTGGATCAGACATCTCTACATATTAACCTGAACTTCAAAAAGTCTTGCTATGTTATAGGGAATATCTAAAAAAAAGTTAATTGTTTATAAGCAGTACCCTGAAAAATATACATTTTATCTTAAATTTCTCCTAAAAAAATAGCAGTGCTCTTCCTGGTATGTGAGTGTGCCTAGGCACCCCTCGACCTACAGCCTCATAACTGTATACCTCTACAGTGTGAGATCCCAGGTACTGCTGCTTCTAGCTGTTAGTCAAGGGAGAGGAGTGGGCTTTGGCAATGTCGCTGCTGTACTACTCACTGTTCTTCTTGCTGGAGACTCCAACATGGGGAAGCAAAACCTTGTCTCTACCAAGATGGCCACCTCCACAGAAAAGCACATGGCAGAACAAGGCATGGTAGTAACCCTGGATCTTGGAGGGTGTTGGAGTGGGCTATGCCCCTCCCCGATTTTAGTTGTGCCCCCCAAAAAAATTTTTTTTAGTTGTGCCACCCCCGGATATTCTGATGTGGCAGTTGATGTAAGGGGGCACTTTGATGTGGAGATATAATGTAAGGAGTACTCTACCGAGAACACCCGATGTAAGGGGAAACTCTGAAGAGGACTCCTGATGTAAGGGGGCACAGGTTTTGTGTAATGATCTTAATCTAATGGCAGCCTAATACATACTAGAGTTGCACCACCTCACTCTTGCACCACCTCTGCACTACCTGTCAGACATTACATCCAGGTTGTTTCTCTATGCTACAGAAGAGTGCAGAGTAAACAGGGAATAGATCAGATGGGCTAGATCTGGCTTTGCATGGTGGGACAGAACTGGGGGATGATGAAGACTGAGATTGAGCTCTGCAGTCACTTTTGCAGCAGTTGTTTTCTTATTCCGGGTCTCAATCCTGCGCAGTGTCCTTTTGTCTCTTTCAGTCAGTTGACCATGTCGACCATGCTTATGTTCATCAGACGATATTTTTCCAGAAACTGCATACGCAGTCATAACCTTTGATACTGTACCTTGTGTAGCGCTTCCTCCGCAGGAGACGCTTGTGTCTTGCCCAGGCTTTCCCCTAGATCTCCTCCCACAGCCAAGCACACCGCATTTCGTTAGTCAGGTGTACAAAATTTCCATTTGTTACACCAATGACCTTTAGTCACAGAGGCACCAGCTAAGCGGCACCAACAATTCGCCCTCTTTGAATTTCAGTAAG